GAAATTAAATCAATTGCATCATTTGGTTCTTTCCCACGCCCACTGATCGTTTATACACAATTCCACGAGAATTCCCTCTCTGGTTGTTTATTCTACATGCGGTTATAATTGTACCTAAAAGAGCGTGTCCATTTGTGATGTGTAGTTGATCCTGATTTGTACACCAGAGGTCCGGAGTAAAATCTTGACCCTCATCAATCATTATGGTACATACACGTATCCACCGAGATGCGGGAGATGCGTTCCGGATTGGATATAGACTGATATGTAGATGGTTCAAACAGGAAACAACCAATTTTAGGATAGTGAACTTAAACGATGATCTAGCAAGACAAGCGCTTTCAGGTTTTGTTGATTTTCGGGATAGTTTCAGTTTCATGCCTCACCAATTACCCTGTACGCATTGGCCAGTTAGTGCACACACAACCGCTATTTGTTAGAATGATAATACCTCAGTGAAGTTGTCTCCGATATTTGAAAAGCAACAACAAAAACAACAACAGCACTCCATTATGTGACGCCCATTTCCCAACCCTTCAAAACTTGATGCGAAGATAAACGGTAGGATATGGGAATATTGTCCCGGGAGTGGTACAAAAGTGACTAAATTTAACGACTGGACAAAGGAGAAGGAGAAAAAAATATATGGTCAGAACGAAGCCGGCGGCGCATAGGAAGCGAAATTTTTTACAAATTAGACCGGTTTGTTTGATACTGGATAAATTGGATATATCAGTTATCCGGTTTCATTATTGTTTTCCCTCACCGAAAGTAAATGCACCGCTACTGGATCTTTTATTCCGGAACGGTAGAATAGTGAGTGATCGGATGCCGAGCTAGGCATACATGATGAAGCCTGTCCAGCAAGTCGAAAACACTTACAGGTATTTCATTAGGAAGTATAACTTGTAAATTGCGAAAATTGTGTACTTGGGTTGACGGAATCAACGGCAAACTTCGCCCATGAAACAAACACTTTATCCACATCGCGGATTTTTAAATTCTACGGCGTGATAGTAACGATCATCGATTGTGTTGCTCACATTCCTACTAAGGAATTGGTCTCTCTATCTCTGGGCTTTTTGACGAATTGAACCCATGTGATTTGGGTAAAAAACACCCAGTCATTACACTCATCTGTATTTTTGATGATCCCACGCAAGTATTTGCTTCCAAATTCGGTACCTTACCTTCTGCATTAACATTACCAAGAACTCCTCCACTCGACCGGTTAGAGCACTCGCTTATTATTGACTTGACATAGACAGAGAGAGAGTATTTAATTCAAGCGTGGAATCCACGACTGCACTGCGATCGTAAGATTCTG